CGTATCTTTGTGAGGGGCGCCGTCTGAAGAGGGTAAGTAAGTCCCGGGAACACGTACTGGTTCACAACGTTGATCTTCTGCTCCGGCTTAAGAAGGCAAGAGCTAACCAATTTGTCCAAGTTGTTGTTTAATTTTGTCACCATTTCCTCATTTAATACCAGCTCTCCCGAGAACGCACATCCTAAATACTTTATAGTTTCACCTGGCTTTGTTGATGCTATCACTTCTCCGTTCTCTAGGGAGAGCTTTGTTTGTTGCAGCTCTCCTTTTTCGACTATCAAGCCCACGCTTTTCTGCGGATTTATTGCTAGACCGATCTCGGCAAGGATCCTCTGCACACCATTAACAATCCTCTCTGCAGCACCCTTGTCACACGCTGTAACAGCCTGGTCATCCGCGAAGCCTGTGAGGACCACACATTCTTGGTCGCTGCTTAATTTATATCCATAGCGGTTGGCAAATTCTTGCTCACACAGGTCGCGGTACAGATGATCTATAGCCAGGTTGAACAGCGAGGGCGACAAGGGTCCGCCTTGGGGTACTCCTCGCCGCACCTTGATCCAGCTAGTCGAGTGGGCTCCGATCCCAATCTTGATTTGGTTTGAACCTAGGAGAGCCGCAATTACGTTCTTCAGGTCTGGTGACACTCCTCTTGCCTCTAGTGAGCCGATTATATGTTCGTGACCAACGTTGTCGAAAGCGCCAATGACATCCAAAAACACTACCGCGCAATCTTTCTTTTTATTCTTGGCGTCTTTTATGATTGCGTCGATAATTCTGGCGCTTACGTGTGCTCCCGGTAGGCCTCTGATGAAGCCTCTCTGATTTTTGCTGAAGGTGATCTGTTTTCTCAGTTCATGGTCCAGAACCTTCTCAATAATTCGGCGCACAATTGAATAAATGGTAATGGGTCGCCATGATGATATGCTGTTGCTATTTCCTTTACCCTTGTATACCAAGATTGTGCGCCCCTGACGTAAAGGCTCCGGTACATATGCCACCCTCAGCATGATCTCCGCAATGGTCTTTATGATATATGAAACATCAAAGAATTTAATCGTGCGGACCAAAACTCCGTCCGGCCCCGGTGATGTGTCCAATGACGTTGATTTGATCGCCTTTTTTACTACTTGGACATCGATGGATGTAAGATTTGGCGTCGGGGCGCAATTCTCGTAGTCCGCACGTTTGCAGAGATTTTCTTTCTCAAAGAGGCTTCTGAAGTGGCCTTCAATCTCGGCTACCTTCAGAGGGCATTGCTTAGGAGCGTCGGCGTTCATAATATTCTGCACCACTTTCTTTCTTCTGTTATAATAATTGTACTGGGCTACCTCATATTGATATTGTTCTTGCCGACGACTCCTATCTGCCTTGTTGGCCCTCTGTGGATTGGACACTTTTCCAGCACCCTTGCCAACCATATCAATCTTGTTTTTCCGTCTTAGCTTATAGAACTTGACGGCAGGGTGCTGTGGGCCGGGCAATTCTTCATTGATTGTTTTTTAGAAATTTTAGAAAATTGCCCACTGCCTCATCGAATTCCATATTATCCACATTGTTTTGCCGACCAAATTTCTGGAAGGTAGCCGACCATTTTGCTATTTGATTCTTTACTCCCTCTTCCTCATCCTCTACATTTTTTCCCCTTTCTATATTACCAATCAAGCCCCTCATTCTAGCGTCATTTGCCTCCCTGGGATGCTTTTTAGCTATATGGGTTCTGAGACCTCTATCACCCTTGAAACTCAGCCCACAAATGGGGCATACTTTGTCATTAACCTCTGAGGAAGGGTCTTCTTTCCTCACTTTTATTTCCCCACTAGGCTCTCCGGATGTCTGTGCTGTTTCGTGCAAACTAGGAAACACTTCATCAATTGGTACTGTTTTGCCCAATGTTTGGCCATCTTCACCCTGCCACTCTACCTTGATGAACTTTTTATCAGACATCACGGAGGCCACTACTGCTTCCTGGGCTGTGCCTCCTGATCTCAGAACCCATACTCTCTGACCTAGATCGACCCTCTTGGAATTATTTAGACTTGCATCCATATCCTTTTTATCTTTACAATAAAGTTACCATCCACACCATATAATACATAATGGTTACATAATACACACCATATATTATTTACAATCGAATAACGGGCTGACTACAAAGCAATTAACGAAATTGACTCACGCAAAAACAAAGCTATCAGTGGAGAAACTTTTTGCTGGGGATTCGGGAAGAGATTCCGTCTGTAATGGATTGGCTTTCGGAAGTTCATCAAACTGTTTATAGAATGTTTCAATCCATCTATCAGGAATTTCAATTATTTTCAAATTAATAGATTAATTAAATTCAATGAAAATAATTTCATGGAAGTATAAAACTATATCCACTGTGTCTACTTTTCATTATTGCTTTTCTCACAAAAAAATAAACAAATAAAATAAAAATAATTAATTTATAATTTTGTTTAAAGGAAGCCGTTTTATAGTGCATCTAGATGCTTTAGACACAAATATTTTGTAATTGTATTTTATTTGTACGAAAAATATTTTAAATGAACAATTCTTTTTCTGAAAGTATTTGGTATGAAAAATACTTTTTCTGAAAGTATTTTAAATACACAAAATACATGTATTTTACATACAATATTTTAAAGTAATAATTAAAATATGTTTTGCCCAGACCTGTACTAAACCAATTAATATGTAAATTTAAACTTCTGAAAGTATCCTCCATTAGTTATGAGTTGGTCAATCCAACCAGCCTACTTAGATACGCGGAAGCGACAAGAATAACGTTTTAATTAAAAACGACAAACTGAAATTGGCACACAATGGACCATTAGTGGTCGATGTGCTCAGGGCCAATACTAATAATAATAAAAAAAGTCCTCCATTAAGCATATTAAATATATATTAGATAAGAAAGTTAGACTCCAAATTAATTTTAAGATGTTAAAATATAAATGAAATAATAAAAAAAGTTTCATTAGAAAATATGTAAAATATAACTGCAGATAAAAACCCTTCAAAGATTTAATATAAATTTTGGAGGAAATTCATAGTAACTCTAAAAATAATTAAAATAGAAATGATAAAAATAAACATAGAAATCGTTATGAAGAATAAAAATAATATCTAGAGCATTAATATTATAACAGAAATGACACACTGAGTTAAAAAAAAAACCCAGTTGTTTACACATCTTGTGAGTTGAAAAAACAGTAAGGTTCATATAAAAATGAAATACTATTTTATGATTTAAAAACTTATGATGGCCCATTACCTTTAAAAATTGCAACCTAATAATAACCACTTACCTCTAACATTTGTTTTCACTGATGCATAAGATTCTGTGACAATCCAGATCAAGGAAAAAACATTACAAAAAGTTCAGTGAAAAATAAAAAACTCTCTTAGTAAGTTGATAATGTTCCTAAATACTACTAGTGATTCCTACCCAATTATTTACTGAAGTGAGCCATGAAAAAGCACTAAATGTGCTATTTTAAACAAAACTAATGATAAGAGATTATATTATTTTTTCAAATCCACGATTCACAAATAATGATAGATAACCTCAGACAAATGTTGGTATTAGTTAACCCAGATAATAAAAACTATTAAAATTAAAAAAAAAAAAAAATCTGGTGCCTATCACACAACTTTCACTTGTCACCCTCTTCTTAGCAGAAATACGTATTTTCAGACAAAGTGAAGTGAAAGTAAAAGTTATAGACTCTATATTTACTTATATTTCATTGAGGATGTTTTTATTTGTATAAGTACCCTCATATATACAAATTTTAATATTTATATCACTGTTATCTATACAATTAAATATTAAATTATACCAACAATAGCATTTATGAAAACCACATATGTATATTTACATAATATTGTCGGAGTCCGTATTATATTAATCTCATGATACGTATGAAAGCGTGTTTTTATCTTTCGGGTGAGCTTGGGTGCGCTTGTATTCCTTTGGTTCCTCAATTAAAACTATTATCCGTTACGATCTCTTATTTCTCCTTTAGTTATTTATCAAATTCTTTCATATTTTATATTTAATAATTTTCTATATTAGAGATCAATGCGAAATGGTAAATTGTTTCCAATAAAAAAAATTAAAGGTACTTTAGAGGAAGCTAATATTGAAAATTAGGGATTTAAGTCCTGTTAGAGAACATCAATGAGAATAAAACCTACATAATAATAAAAACTGCTTAATTTTACACTGATATAATGAAATTTAATCAAAATCTTTAGAGCTTTTCGAGTTCATGATCCATAGCAAAACACTTCAGTCAATGATTTTAGAACTATTATATTTATTTCCGAAGCCAACGATTGAGTAACAAACAATATTCTTATATTTCTCTATATTTGTGCATAGGAAACAAAGGCCACAATCCTTAACTTCAAAATTTGGATGAACTGCATGAAAAAAATCTGATTAGGATATACATAAATTTTTAAATGGACTTACGTCCACCTATTGGCTGATACTCTGATAAAATTAGTCCTTTTAACAATTAATGTATATTCTATCCTCATTGTTTTTGTTTAGTTCACTGATTTGAACATGGGACCTTCTTGTTCCAAGGAACAGATATTATTATTTAGTTTTTAAAGTTACTTAAAATTAGTAGTATAATTCATATTATTTTGCCAAAATGTAAAACAATTTAGAATTCATTTCTAAGTTCATTACAACAAAATAAAAGGGCTTTTCATTAGAATAATTTGACTCTTCTGTCATTAAAAATTTCTTCTATTTACGTATTTCCTTTTTAGGATAGTGCTCATGAAATGAACTGAAGAAAACTAGATTTGAAGCTAAGGATATATTATATTTCTAGCAGAACAGAATAAGATAGCAAAGCAATTATGTGCTATATAAACAGCAATGCTGGAAAGCAAAAAAAGAATTTAATGTATCTAAAAGAAAATAATCTTTACAATTAAAAAGAAATATATATACAAGAATATTTTTAAAAACTTACGGATTCCAATTTCATCCTGTAAGTTTCAGAAAATTCTTCTCCACCCATTTTCCTCTTTTTTGAAAACTGGTCCATGGCTTTCAATTTGATTCTTACATGTTCATTTTCAAGTAAGGCTGTGCTTAGGTATGGTTTCGCTCCACCACAAACACCCTCCATCATGGCATGGTATGTTTCTTTGGCAGCAGCAACGGCAGCTAGATTATTAGCTTCTGCTGTTGCCTATACATATTAAATAAAGATCATACAATATACATGTAAATAATCATATTTAGATAAAATAGTATTTATAAAATAAAATTGAGTAAACACTAACCACAAGCATTGATTTAGGTTCGGGTAGTTCATCACCACTATAAACTGTTATATATGATTTAAAATACTGTAGTAATTCCTTTGCTTTCACTTTCTGTCCACTGATTTCTTTAAGTATAAGATTCTCAGGAGCTAATAATAGGGGAACTAACTTGTTTAAACATTTTTTGAAATCTGGTTCGATATCTAAAATTTAACAAATTATAACTTTAATTTGATAACAGTAAAATAACATGAGAATTTAAACATAGGACTATATAAGAATTCTTTGAAAATCATACATAAATTCTAGGATATTGTCTTAAAAATAGATATTTAACTCAAATTCATCTCAGGCAAGAGTTCATAAGCTTTTTGTAGTATCAGCGGATTCGAGGTTGTAAAATGTAATGGTGGGTACAATCAAATGAAAAAATTATTATATCTACCAGAATATATTTACTATAACATATTATATAATTATTACAAAAGTTGAATCAGAATTAATCATTAAACAATAAATAAATAACTTGTAAAACAAAATAATCCCACAAGAGCAGTTAGCTTCAGTACACTGGATATTGTTTATAGCGACCTTGAAGAGACAAAGTAAATTCCGACGTTATAACTAGACCTGGGCACTCTTGAAATAATTTATTTCTGAAATAAATCATATCGTTATTGCACGAATGAATTATTTCGGGAATAATGGTTTTTTCTGAAATAATATTTCAAACTGTCAATGAAATATCCTCGATGGAATAACTGCTGAATTTATTTATGAAATAATTATTTCAATATTTTAACATTCTTTGGAATAAAGTAGTTTATTTCGAAATGAGTTATTTCTGAAATAAACTATTTCATAACTATTATTTCAGAATTATTTATTTCATAAATAAATTATTGCAAAAATCAAGAAATAAATGTTTCAGAAATAATATAAAAAATTTACCGATACTTTTTACCTTAATGAGTACTTTTTGGATTTAATCGATATCAGGGTTGACTGTTATGTTTTCGGGGTAGCTGATTATAAAAACATTTGCAATAGCAAATTCGACCATATTTTCATAATAAGCTACCCCGAAAACATATTAGTCGACCCTGATATCGATTAAATCCGGAAAGTTACAAAAAGTCGATGCTGGTGGGTGGAGGGGGGCGCAATCTCAAATTCAACCATATTTTCATAATCAGCTACCCCGAAAACATAATAATAGACAATAATATGGATTATTGGGTGGTTAGGTGTGGTCAGGTCCTATATAGACTTTTTCCTAATAAAAGTAATTGAGTACTGCCCATCCCTAGTATGGAGGGTGGGGGGAGGGGGTGATTAACAGGGGTGTTAGCGAAAAGTAAATTTTAAGTGAACAATACTGTTTTTATTTTGGTTATTTTAAGCCGTTTTGCAGCTTTAAGAATGATTATTCCAGAACGTTATTTCTGAAATAATCATTTCAGAAATAATTATATCGTTATTCCTGAAATAATGTTCATGTTATTTCATGAAATAAATTATTTTCGAAATAACTATTGAGGTTTATTTCACGATTTATTCCGGGAATATTTTTCAAATAAATTCTGCCCAGAGCTGGTTATACCTGATTGTCCTTATAACTAGGATACTCACGATAGCTTTCACTAATTTCAGACTGTCTATAATGATGGTGGTCACTATATGCCATATAAAGAAGTGCAAAATTTAATCAAAATGGACTTCAGCAATGCTTTATTTGATGAGAAAAAAACTTATCTATACTTTTTATCTCACGTTAACAGTGGAATGAGAAAACCCCATAATATAAAAAACTAGTATGTTAATAATTACAATTGGGACAGCAGATTCTTATAGATCTTTATTTAAAATTTTTATTTTATCATGTTTTCTCATGTTTTTTATCATGCCTTCTAGCCTTCATGGAAAATTTCATAAGCCTACAGACATCTCTTTAAGTTGCCTAGTTTTTTGTGTCTTCAGTAAAATCATATAAAATAGGTGTACAATTCTTTCTCGTTGATGTGTATATATGTATGTATATATATATATATATATATATGTTTTTTTTTTTTAAATTCTTCAAATTCTTTCATCATATGTTTTATGGCATAATATACATGCATGTCTTGTTAAAAAAAAAAAATAATGGTCTGAGCAAAACCCAAAAATCAAAGGGGGTTCGTCATCCAGGGTTTCTGTAATGCCTTCATCCCTATTGTCCTTTCCTGTATTTTACAGTTAATTGTTTTAAATTGAAACAGTTTGCTATTGTAGTGGTCAATACATCACTACACAATTTTTACCTTTAATTACTTATAGATGTAATACCCAGAAAAGGGAAAGTGTTACGAAATTTTGAATTTGAGTTTTCAACATAAATACACGTGTAAAAGTCCCTTGAGTTTATCGAATCCCACAAAATGGCTTCTGTGTGTATGTGAACAGCCTAGCTTAAATATGAAGAGTGATATCAAACAATTAAATAGTCTATAATATCAGTTAGGTCTTATTACTTTCACTTACCCATAAATGAAATATACACTGACAGACAAAAAATTCCACCCACTTGATTTTTTCATGTTTTCATCTAAAAATATTTCTGCTTTGTATTGGTCTATTGTTTTTAATGAATAAATAGGTAATCTTTTTGTTTGTTTTCAATTAGGAACGGTTAATATAGAGGACAATAATCCTTAATCCAATGAAATGATTCTAGATTCCAATGTTTACTTTCTATGAAATCAAAATGTTTATTCAGTATCATTAGTTCAGTGCCGTTTCTTGCAGCACATTTCTTAGTCTGGCTTTTAATTTTTTCAATATTAAGTTTAAAAATGCCTCTTAGTGCTGAGGATGTTGCGCGTGGTGTGGCACTTATTGATGATGGACGCTCCATTAGATATGCAGTTAAAGCCATCGGAGTTCCATATGAAACTTTACAAGACGCCGTCAGGCATTTTTGGGAAACTGGTTCTTACAATAGAAGGCCCGGTTCTGGACAGCATATGGTAACAGAACCGCGGGATGACCGGTTTTTGACTTTGAGAATTTTACAAAACTGGCACCTTACCGTTGTTCAAGCGATTCATCAAATGTTCAGGTGTGCAAATTTCTGAACGTACCGCTCGGAGAAAATTAAATGAGTATGGATTAATGGTTTTTCGTCCAGTAAGAGGACCAGAGTTGACCAGAACTCACAGAGTAACACGGCTGCCTTTTGCTCAAGAACACAGCCAACAATGATTAAGTCATTTTCGAAACCTATATGAGCCAAATTAACTCAGTAAGAGGTGATTTCAGAGAATTTTTCATGGGTGATAAATATTCAGGAGGCAGTCTTTTTTAATTTTTGCCAACGTTTCAACCCAAACATGTGGGTCATCTTCAGGGCATGGGTTGAGCACTGAGGGTGTTCAAGCACTCCTCAGTGCTCAAAGATGACCCACATGTTTGGGTTGAAACGTTGGCAAAAATAAAAAAATTGTAGATGCAATATACAATATCTACATTATGGTAAGAGGTAAACCATTTCATAAAAAATATTTTATTATCAATGATCAGAAATGATTCTATTAATCGAGGATCAAATTTTAAACTATTTAAATTTGTAATAATAGTGGATTTATAATAGTTAGTGTTGCCCAAAATCGGTCTTGGTCATGCACTTTACTATACCAATACTAAGGCCGCCTAACTGTTGCAAGACCAAGGCCAAGACTGGTAAAAAAATATATCCTTTTTATGAATAAACATTAAGGTAAAATAGTCACTAAAACTTGATAATTTCAGTTACCATATGTAAAGAATTGGCATACCCAATATCCTTCGGAATTTAACTATCAATTTTTCATTTGGGCTTATTTAGGTTTCGCATATCTGAAAAATTACAGCAATATCTCTATAATAATAAGCTAATAGGTAACTGCAGTAGACTGTTGCGAAACTTGCACAAGAACAAGACCAAGACTCGTCTCAGTCTCGCATTTGGGCAAAACTAGTTGGGGTGTTCAGTCACAAGTAAAAAATAAATAAATTATATTTATTAAATTTACATTAAATAATTTATATTTATTAAATTTATGTTAAATAGTTTATATTTATTAAATAATTTATTTTTATTAAATTAACATTAAATAATTTACATTTATTTAAAGTTGTTTTTTTTTCAAAGGAGAACATTAAGAAGAAAAATAAAAATAGTTTCATGGTTGCTGTCTTAGAATTGAGTTTCTAGTTTTTCAATGAAAGTTGATGTTTTAATAATTATATAAATTTGTTAGTGAAATTTGCAAATGATAGAGTTAGATGAATAAAATAGAAATCAAAATATGCCGAAGTTTATTGGAATATATTTTAAAATAGAAACAAGCCAAATATTGTTCTTTGATTTTATTATTTATTTTCGTGTGATATATGTGATTCATATGCTTCATTCAGCTTGCCCAACTTCAATTCTATCTCCTAAACCATTCTAGTTAATAGTTTGTTGCAATAATTACTTTTTAAATTGAAATAACAAAGAGAGACTATTCAAATAATAGTTTCCTGCCGATCCAATATGGCCGCCACATCGGTATGACCACACTGTATTATTAAGCCACTGTAGTTGGGGTGATCAGTCAAAATAAAATAGTAAAAATAAATAATTGTATTTATTTTTATTATCCGCCAAAGTCTCTCCCTCTCCAATTCCCAATTTCATGTAACCAATATCCAATATATAAAACAGATCCTTTCAAATAATAATTTTCCTCTCCATGTTATCAACAAACTTATAACAGAATCACAAAAATCGCTCTTCCTCATCTCGACCTCCTCTGTTTTCCCACAACCCATTTCGGCCTCCATATACTGATCTCTACCTTATACTCCTAATCTTTCTGACAACGTAAACAAAGTTATACAATCTACTAACCCTAACTTACGACTTTCATTCAAATTTCTCAACACACTCAAATTTGTACACATCCTTAAAAGATCCTGCTCCTCCTTCACACTGCTCTCATATCATTTACGGTATTCTGTGTTCTAGCCCTAATTGTTCTTCATCTTATATTGGCGAAACCAGAAATCTTCTAAAAGAGCGCATCGCCCAAAATAAATTTTCTGTATCCTCTCGTAATTTTACTGCCTCCAAATTATCCGAAAATTTCCTCTCCTTAAACCATACATTTGATTTCGACAAAACTTCCATTCTTGCCTC